GTATATACTTCTCTATTTTTCCAACATTTGTATATTAATTAAATAATTAATGAAATAAAACTTCCATTACCAAAAATTTAAAAAATACATAATATTGGTTATTTAACGAAATAATAAATACTTCATTAAATAAATTTTTAAGAATTAAATAATAATATTTGTTAATTATCAAAAAGAATAATGTATTATAATTATTGAGTTTTGATAAAATTGTATAATAATAAATAAATAAATAAATATGTTTAATTTTTTAGAGGTATTTTTATTTATTATTAAAATAAATTTTTTATTGTTTTCGTATTTGGGTTGAAGATGGTGTACAGGAGTGTATAACAAAAATATGATTCAAAAGTCAAAACTTGTTTCATAATGAAAGTACAACAACATCAGCACCAAGTACAAGTAAAAGTACAACATGTACACAACAACAAATAATAAATAAAAAGGACGGGTCATGAAATGGGCTCTACCACATACGATTGCAAAGGATACCAATGGAATTGTAATTTTCATTTAAATATCAGGTTCATTTATGTATTGAGAATGTAAAAAGTAGGTTTTGATGTTGACGTGTGTGATGAAAATATTATTAAGTAGGGGTACATTTAGCAATGTAAAGGAGTACAATTAACCGTGCTCGATAATAATCCCATCAATGAGGGGTGCATTTAGCAATGTAAAGGAGTACAATTAACCGTACTCGATAATAATCCCATCAATGAAATTGATTCATAATTCCATATCAAACTCACCCTCTCTCTCTCTCTCTCTCTCTCTTTCTCTCTCTCTCTCTCAAGCGCTCAAACGGGGAACCTAAATCGATAAGGTCTCTCGCAATCGGGAACAAAGTCGATCCTCTTGTTGTTCTCAATCGACCTCTTGTTGTTGTTCCCCATCAATCCCAGGTACTATCACACCTTCTGGTTCTAAATTGATTCATGTTGTTGCTCTCCATCGTTTCTGGTTCTCCATCGAAACCATATCTGATTTTTTTTTTGTTCTCTGAAGATAGGTGGGTTTTGATTTCCGTTTTGACATCTGACAAGGACGATGGTAAAGCGGGTTTTGGCGTTTTCGTTTTGATATCAAGTTCTGATTTTTGTTTTGGAATCATCTTGATGAAGAGCATAACGGGTTTGGACTTTTTCGTTTTGACTCGATAGATTATTTTCATTGCCAATCAATCATAATTTCGTTTCTAATATCGTTATTATCATCAATCGTTGAATTTGGGTTCAATTTCTAATGGTGATTCGGTCTCCAAAAGAAAACGAAAACTGAATTGAAAAATCGATATTTGAGCATATGGTTTTTAATTATGACTTTGGACACATCTAATCTATCGAGTTGTTGACAATAAACAAATTTTTTGTTAGATATAGAGGTTTATTTGTATGAAAAGTTACTGTGGGTACAGATTATGTATGTTCATCATGTATTTGAGAAGCTATTTCAGTCCATCATTAAACATGTAATCTTGAACTTTAAATAATATATTTTGATTAACAATACTCAATAAATAAAATGTAGTTTTCAAGTTTTTTTAATCATATGTTTTGAATATACGCACGATTGGAAAGTTAAAAAAACTCATTTAAAATGATGGAGAATAATAACAAAGTTTTTAAATGTTTTTTAATTAAATAAAGGATAATCGATTTTATAAGTTCATTTTTATTTGTTAATCATAACTTATAGAGTATTTAATTGGAAAAATTGATATAGATAGTCAATTAGTAAATAGGGTTTCACCTTTTAATCAGTTTTTGATTCAAATATGTAAGGATTAGCTTTTTAGACAATCATTACACGGAAGGCTTACGCAAATGCGTAAGGATTGGCTTTCAACAAAAAAAAATATAATACTTACGTAGAAATCTTGTGTAAATCCTTAAGTAGAAACCTTACGCATATGCGTAAGGATTCTGTTACTTTTTTTGGGCCAAGAACCATTCGTTATGCATATGCATAAGCCTTCTACGTAACGATCAAGACTTTAAATGGTGGACTCCGACCTCGAGGCGTTTTCCCTCAACGAGGAGAGGCGTAAGCCTTGAGGCGGTCCAAGGCATAAGCCTCGATGTATAAATGTCTATACCTAAAATATGTGTATATATATACACACAATATATATATATATATATATATATATATATATATATATGGACACGTTCAAATGAAAACCGTGCATTTTCAAGAAACCTTGTAAACCAATTTCGACCAATAGAAAAATTCCATTTTTTTCTAATTAAATTTAATCAATAAGGATATTTCGGTCATTTACAATATTTTCTATTAAATATTGAAGTTATTAATAAATCTTAATTAAAGAAACGTAATAAATGAAATTGTATAAATGGTAATATGTAAATATTTAATTATATTATAATATTAAAAATTTGAATTTGATATATTGTTATGAGATTGAATCTGCAAACGGGTCTTGAAGTTTGAAGTGCATTATGGAATGAAATCGTAAATTATGGTTCAAATTAAAAAAATAATGTTAATGAAACAGGTTTCATGAAGGTGAAACTGGTTCATGTTGTAATTGATTCATGAGTAATATGAAATCGTTTCCTGGTGAACCACGTTTCAGTGATGGTGTAGTTGATCTGTTTAGTAGAAAAAATGGAACATGAAACGGGTGCATAATTTGTTTGGTTCGTCATGAAATAATTGCATGATGAAACGAGTACATGATGAATCTGCTTGGGGATCTTGAAGATTGTAACCTACTCCTGAATCTTGAAGATTGTAAAGAGTAAAGGAAAGAATGCATCAAATCATGAGTAAAATAAAGAAATTAATTTACATGAAACAGGTTTCATGAAGGTGAAACTGGTTCATGACGTAATTGAACAATGAGTGGTGAACTGCTTTCATGATGAAACTCGTTTCAGTGATAGCATAGGTGATCCATTCAGTAGATAAAATGAAAAATGAAATGGGTGCATAATGTAGGCGGTTCGTCATGAAATAATTGCAAGATGAAAAATAAATTAGTTTCATTAATAATAATAAAGGTTAACGTAAAAATAATAAATTATTTTACAAAAAATAGATTAGTTTCATTAATAACATGATATACATGATATAGTTTCCTTAAATAAATGAATATTTGGTTTTATCCTTTTGCCCTTATCGGTATTATAAAATATATTTTCAATTTTTTTATTTTTAATTTTCTTAAATAACTTTGATCAATCTTAACCATTGATCAAGAAAATGGATGTGTGAGATTGGTTTACACAAATGGAGACGGTTTTTATTTGATCGCTCCTATATATATATATATATGTATATAGATATAATACTAAATTACTAAGAGAGGTCGGTTCAGTGATTCTCGATAGAGGAAAGAGTAAAAAGTGTAAGATAGGTTGAGAGAATGTGTAAAAATTGGTTGCTTTGAGGAAGAAGAATGGTCAAACTACACTTTTTGATTGAGAGGAGAAAATACTAGCTTTTTTGAGTTTTAAAATATTAAAAGTACATATTGGGGTCATTTGGCTTTGATTTTTAGTTTTTTAAAATAAAAAAGACACATTTTAAAGAGAAAGTATTACTACTGTCATAAAACTTATAAAAAAGCTAATAGAAAACATTACCAAAGCATATTATCTGAAGCATATGCCTCGACAGAGCCTCACACCTCAATGAACCAAGGTGTAAGCCTCAGGTGCGGGACTCAATAGCCGTTGCCTCAGGTGCGGTTTTGGACTGCCTCGTCTTAAGGCGTGCTTCGAGACGTATGCCTCAAACGATATTTAAAACCATGGTAAAGAACGACTAAAATGTGAATTTAAAATACAAAATACTATAAAGTAAAACGACCTATAAATTTTAGCTATTTTCGTTCGTAAATTTACGTACCTAATTTTGGGACCTTAGAAAAATAAGAGTAAACTACCATTTTGTTCCCTATGGTTTACACGAATCTATGAAAGTGGTCCCTATACTTCAATAACTACAATTATCATCCCTACTTTTTTGTATTTTGTTTTGAAAACAGTACTGGTCACTAACTCCGTTAAATATGTTTCTTAAGGGAAAAAGAGGCATTTATGGCTTTTTATCCTTTTACTCAAAGGATAAAAATTGTAATTTACTTTATATATATCTATTTATATTTATATCTATTTATATTTTTAAAAGTGGTTATAACAAGCTTTTTAACCATATTTGTTGAATCATCTCAATCTAACGGTCTGAATAGATTCTTTGTTTTTTTTTCAAGGTTTTCCCTCAAATATATGATGAGATCAAAAGACAATCTTTAATAAAAGAGTCGAAGAACCCATCTAAACCGTTAGATTGAGATGATTCAACGGATATGGTTAAAAATATGGTTATAACCACTTTTTAAGAAAATTATAAAAATATCACACACCATTTTTTAAATAGAAAATCGGCGTATATAAAAAAATTAAGTGAAATAAATTACACCAAAAAAACAATCACATTATTATCTATAATCTGACATTCATTTTGATATATTTTTTCATCTATTTTTTTGTGGTTTTCGAGGTTTTTTTTCAAGATTTTCCTTAAATATAGGGATGAGATAATGAGAGAATTTTGAAAAAGAAGCCGAAGAACCCATCCAAATTTTTAGACTGAGATGATGCTAAGAATATGATTAAAAATACAGATATAAGCATCTTTTAAAAATAAAATATAAATATAAAAAAGGTAAACTACAATTTTGGTCCTTTGAGTAAAATCAAAACACATAAAATGAAGAAAAAACAATAACAAGACATAAATGCCCCTTATTTAACGGACATATTTAATGGAGTTAGTGTATAGGGATCATTTTTAAAGTAAAATGTAAACAATAGGGACGATAATCATAGTTATTAAAGTCTAGGGACCATTTCATAGATTAATGTAAACCATAGGGACCAAAAGTAAAGTTTACTCGTTAATTAATGAGTGTAGGTGAGGCCGTGAGGGACCATTTTACGTTTAAATTGATACCAATTCGTACAACTCTGCTGCTCTTATCAGTAGCAGTCAAGTTGTTTCGTGTTGCCTTTGTTTTCGTCGGAGCTCCAACCGTCGATCAACTATGGCTTTGAAGTCTTTTGTTGAAGTTAAATCGGACTCACACTTCTCCATACATAACCTTCCCTACGGTATTTTCAAGCATGCTGGAGGTTCTATTACTACCTCAAGGCCTGGAGTTGCAATCGGAGATTACGTTCTCGATCTCTCCGAAATTCATTCTGCTGGTTTGTTTGACGGTCCATTACTTTCCAATTCCGATTGCTTTCATCAGGTTTTTATTTTGTATTTCTCTTAATTTTTCGTATACGCATTCTTTCAACTATGGTTGTAGTTTACTTTTTTTGATTACCAGTTGCTCTATATTAATGTACTGCTTTTTAGCCTTAAAGTTTCGCATAAGTCATCTGATTTTTATGTGTTGGATCCATCTACTTTCACTTTAAGTACTGGGCGTTTGATCAAATTCCGTGGATTACTCCTAGTTTACATACTCGCAGATTCTAAATAATAGGTTTCTAACTTGAGATTAGAGGATTTTGGTTTTGAAGTTGTTAACGGAATTGAGATTAGAAATTGAAGTACTAAGTGTGGCTAGTGAAGTTCTTGTAGAAAGGAGTATTATATTTGCAGTGGCATACATGATGAAGGTTAACTGGCTAACTTTAACACCTTGAAGGCGCAGGATTGAGGCAGAACTTCCTTTTGAGCTGATGATACTTTACAGATACAATATGACCTGACATGTGCTGCGAAGAATGTTTCTTGTACAAATTGTATCGGATGTAGATGTACTTGTTCATTGTTATATTGAAAATTTGAGAGTATATCATTTTTCCAGAATATTAGGCAACTCTACAAAATTGCTAATATAAAATCTTGATTGTTACGTTGTGAAACCATTTGGCAAAGGAGGATCATACTTCCAAATTCTATCCATCCGGATGGTACTATAGGTACTGCATTCAGGTTAAGTAGGATTTTATACTTTATAATTGGGATTCATGCATCTAGTGAATTGCAAAGTAAATATGGCCTTAGCATAGTCATGCTCATTCTATGTACTTCTCTCAGGTGGTAATGTTTTTTATATTTTTCACAGACAATCTTGACATTCAACGTTTTAACTGTCGTGTCTTGCTATTTACAGTTTTGATCATCTTTTTCTCTTCTTCCTGCAGAACGATAATCCTCTTAATAGACTTAGCTTACTGAATATGCAGCTAGTGTCTGGATAGCTTTGTGCTTAAGTTTTGTGTTGATTGTAATGCAAACAAACAGTATGGACACATTTAAAATGAAATTATGAAGACTATTTCTAACATGTTCTTTATACGTTAATTGCTTTGAATGCAGTCAAATCTTAACAAATTTCTGGAACTAGGAAAACCAGCATGGAAGGAAGCTCGTGCTACACTGCAAAAGCTATTATCATGTGCGATATGACATTTAATCTACTTTTTTCCTGAAGTATATATATATTTATACATATTCTGTCTGTAATTTGTTAAATGCAAATTATGCATGAGGGTACCTTGTTTGATAAGATTTAAATTCAAAATATGATTATAATTTACAATGTCTGTATTTCCTTATGTAGCTGCTGAACCATCTTTACAAAAGAATGCGAGTTTGAGGGAGAAGGCACTTTTGCCTATGGTAAGAGACATTCGGATGTGCCTTCTATATTTATGTTGTCTTAGAGCTTATTTAACACATACTGCTCCAGGTTCAGGTAGAAATGCTTCTTCCTGTTGCTATAGGGGACTACACAGACTTCTTTTCGTCCATGCATCATGCTAAGAATTGTGGGACCATATTTAGGGGGCCAGAGAACCCAATTAATCCCAACTGGTATGACAATTTGAGATGTATTATGCAAATTACAGACACCACCTTTGTAGAAATTTGCAAACTTCCTCTTTGCTTATACTCATTCTTTCAGGTACCATCTCCCCATTGCATATCATGGAAGAGCATCATCTATTGTAATATCCGGCACTGATATTGTTAGACCAAGGTACAACAAATCTATTCGACCTAGAAGATCTAATTGAATTGCTGTTAGATATTGTTACACTATTGTTAGTCCGAGATACCTAGCTAACAACAAGCCTGGAGATCAACTGGCTCTATCATTTACATTTTGAACAAGATTTAAAAGTTCTGTGGCTTCTAAATAGTTTGTATCTGACAATCAACTAACCAATCATACAGGACTATTTTCCGATTTTTATTCAAACTTCATTTCAACATTGGCTAACTGGTAAAATCAGTTCTCTTTAATGGGAAAGTTAGGTGTTCAAGTCTGGAAGGAATCTCTTTGGCCTTTATCTGCTTACAGAGCCTTCCCTCCTGAAGCCTCTCAAACCCCAAGCCTTGAAGCAGCATCCTCACAGTTAAACAGTATCCAATGAAATTTTATTATCTGATTCTTTTCTGTAAGTGAAACGCGTATTGTATATATAAGCATCAGCTCTATAGGAATGGATACAAATCAATTAACAGTCTGCATAATGTTAGGCACTCTGATTTTATATTACATGTAGGTATGCGCAGGCACACTCTAGATATATCATGTATGGTAGATACACATGCAAATGTGTTATGCACTTAAAGTTAAATGCTCTGCAATTAAAGTTGGACATCCTTTATTTATGCTCCTTCCCTATGTTTCTGTTCCACATATTTTTCCTAATAATTTCTGAAGATGAAGGACGACCCTTCATGTGGACTTCAGATCCCATCTTATATGCATTTTGTTTTTCCTCCAGAGGTCAAGGTTATCCAACCGGCAACTCTCCACCGTACTTTGGACCTTCACGGAAGCTGGACTTTGAGCTAGAAATGGTGAGCTTTTGTGGTACATAGGCTCTTTGGGCTTTTAAAGTTACAAATACTATTTCCAACACCGTGCTTCTGCAATGCTTATCTATGACTAATCCTCCTGTTGCCTTGTTTGTCTATTTCTTCAAGGCTGCTGTAGTTGGACCAGGAAATGACCTAGGAAAGCCTATTGATGTCAATGAGGCTGCAGATCACATTTTTGGAGTCGTGCTGTTGAATGACTGGAGTGGTATGCTGTTTTGTATATTTTCATTGCTGTTCGTTATCAAATTTGTTTTTTCGATTAACATTGATTACACAATGGCCTCCACAGCAAGAGATATTCAGGCGTGGGAGTATGTACCTCTTGGTCCTTTTCTTGGGAAAAGTTTTGGTAAGAACTTGGCCTTTATTTCTCTTAGAAAATAATATGACTGCTGCATAGTAGGGTGCTGATGATAAACTAGCTCAACTTGCTCACTCTTAATGATCAAATGTGTAGTAGAAAAACCATGCCCTAACTTCTGGTGTTTTCAGGGACTACAATATCCCCTTGGATTGTGACTCTAGATGCTCTAGAACCATTCGCTTGTGATGCTCCCAATCAGGTAGCTCTGTCCTTCCAAGACCATAAGCCAGTAGAGTTTGCAACTTAACTTCCTAGTATTGTATGCTAATTCATCTTTTGATAATGCAGATCCCTAAGCCCCTGCCATATCTTGCAGAAAATATATCCAAGAACTATGATATTTCTTTGGAGGTATGGTGTGAATGCTAGGAGTTAAATTCATGAAATGTTACAGTGTTCTTTTCTCTTCAGAGACGCATTTCTTTCTGAACTCTCAATAATATACTTTGGAACTTTCCTAGTCCATGTTAGTTTAGACCTTTAAATGTCACTAGATTGAGTCTACGTTGATTGAAGTTGTCTATATGTTTCCTCACCCATATGTCATTTCATCTTAGAAAGCTCTATTGGATTTCTTCCTCAGTTCCTTGTGATGACAAAACATTTCCAACCTCTTCCTCTGTTGACATTCAGTTGTAATATTTTCACACATTTTGTAGTTATATGCTTTTAACTTTGAATTATAGATGGAGTTTATACAGATTGAAAATTCTGTGGATTATTCTTTGTTATGAGATCTAACTTGTCAATCGCTTCAAGGTTCGGGTTAAACCGGCTGGAGAGGAGGATTCATTTACCGTCACAAGGAGCAACTTCAACCACTTGTAAGAAAATACACGATACTTAAGTATTGATGTTGGGTATCTCTGATTTAGATCAAATTAGTTTTAGAAATTCTAATAAAGCATCATCTTGTTTTCGTTATAGAAATTTCTGTAGATGCATGTGATTGTTTGACATGTTTGGCACCTTCTGCTCTCAAATTAAGTAGCTAGAAGTAACGTCCTCATGAATGATGGTGTTTTAACTGTTAAGTTCTCTGTATATAAATCAATCGAATAGAAGTTCTCGACTCAAAAGGCAAAATTTTATCTGTTCTAGGTACTGGACACTTACCCAACAACTCACACACCATACTATCAATGGTTGTAATTTGAGGCCAGGAGATCTCCTTGGAACCGGAACAATCAGTGGACCTGTAAGATGTTAGCTTTGTTTATGCTACTATGACATTTACACGTTGTTCTAGACTTCTATTTCTACAATGTTTTGTTAGAGGTAAAGTACATGAGGTGGCTGCTTGATGTTCACAGGAACCTGAATCCTATGGATGCTTGCTAGAGTTAACATGGAATGGAACAAAAGAGTTGCCTTTAGGTAAGACAACTCGTAGATTCTTGGAAGATGGAGATGAAGTTATTTTCAGTGGTTGCTGCAAGGTACTTTATGTTTTAATTTGAACTCCTATGTGTTTCTCCATTCCAGATTTTCATTTGCAAATGGCTCTAAAAACAAATATTCCCCATCTTATGGTGTCTTTCCAAGCCATGCACATTTCCTTTTCATGCCTTACAATTTACACGTGACTCCTGGCGAAACCTTGGCCATATGGTTTGACTCAAAAAGTTTTTTTTTCTCTCTTTTTTTATGTTGGATGCTCGTTTCTGGTTGTCAAGCATTTCACCACATTTCAATTCTTGATGCTGTGTGCTCTTTTTTACGTATAGTTTCTTCGTGTTGTTTGCACTACTTGGTGGAAATCATGTGATATTGTTAATTGCTAGTCATACACGACGTACACGTTAGAGTTGTAACGCCACTTGTGGGAATTATGTTTGGTTTTCATTTTGAACTTGGTGATTGCAACTGGGAATTATGTTTGGCTTGTGAAGTTGATAGAGATTTGGGTTGGGGTTTCTGATCTATGTTCAGTTAGAAAATTTCCTGATAAGTTTGATGTACATGATAAGATGTTCTGGCTTTACATTTCTAGTGTATCATTGTTTTGACTTTGTGGACTCTCTCCTGCAGGGAAATGGTTACAATGTTGGATTTGGTACATGCTCGGGGAAAATCGTACCATCTTCGCCATAATTAGCAGCTTGTTTCACCCATCAGTCTAGGTAGGCACATTGTGCTTTTCATTGAGCTTATTGAAGAAGTTTTGTTTAGTATTTTTCAATAAGTTCCTGGTTTCTCCAATTTATTAATGAATTTTTCAACATGTCCTTTTAGGTCATTTTACATTATCGATCATCATTTAGCTTATCAGCTAGTTTTTACACATCATGACTAGGTTATAAGCTAACAGTCAGCTCTTTTCAGGGTTACGAGTATTCTTGTCCAAAGCAGAGTGTAAGTGATAACTTGGAAGCTTTTACGACCCCATGGAGAAGGTAGAAGATTTCTATGTATGTAGTATTCAACTACAGAACCATGCTATCTTCCACGGTCAGATGTGAATTGCAATCTATTTGGTAAATATGTTTCTACCAGTATGGTATTTTGGATTACGGAAATTAGTTCTGAGCAGGTGGTGTAGGGGTGTTTTGCTTTGATATTATTGATGCATCTCCTATAAACCATTGATAGCTTGTTGCTATTTGAAAAGTTTACCGAAAGCTTATTATGGATGGGTCCAATCGACTCCTGAGAAAAACATTGGGGACATACATACTAAAACTCATTTCTATTCCAACCACACTAAAACAAAACATGTACATGGTCGGTGAGCGGATTAGTGGCCCTGAGGTTCACCTTATATGACTCCAGGCGTTTTTGGTCGTCGAGGAAATTAGTCTATATTTGTAAATTGGTCTAGATGCCCACAGTGACCAAAAAAACATTAAAAATCACAACACGCCAAGTTTCGTGGTGGTAGGCCGCTATATTTGGTGTTCTTTCCAAAACGAAAAAAATGCCGGCCAAATTACCGGCCGGTTGGAGAGAACTGACCAAAAAAGAGCATTTATATCGTCTGGTTTGAGATGCTTCGTAAAAACACTATTTTGTGTTTTCAAAACCTTTTTCTTTGCGGAGGAAATGAAATGAAAGAAAAGGAAAAGGGGAAGTAAAAAAGAACTTGTGTTTTCAAAAAAAAAAAGTAAGAGCGAGAGGAAAAGACTCGTAAAAAAATAATTATAAGTTTTCTTCAAAATGTGAGAAGACATGGAAAGAAAGAAAAGAAGAAAAACGAAATCTCTTAAAAAGATTATTAGACTTATGGGGAATAGATTTACTAGAAGGGTATTCGCGCAATGCAGTGAGATAAATCTCGATTTTAGTGTATAGTTTTTATTCTTTATTTTTATCGATATAATACGATTTTATGTGGTTTTGAAAAATCGATAATGGTTTTATTTTTGAAGATAACACATAATTTTGAAAAAATAAATCAATCAATATTAGTATCAAATTAACTATTTAACAATTATTGTTTCTTTGGTATAAGTTCTTTAATTCAATTTTTTTTATTGTAATTCAATTTAGTTTTAATAATAAAGTAATTTATTTTTGGTTTAATAATATAATTTTTTATAAAAATAATAATCAAACATTCTGTTAGAACTCAATGATTATCTTAATTATAATTTAGATTTTTTATGTTTAAAATAGATGTTTATCCTATATTTGATTATGTTTATCTGCAGTTAGTTATATGAATTTAAAAATAGAGCTTTAATAAGTTGTACTTACGTAAAATTATTTGTACTCTTGAATTTTAAGTAATATACATCAACAAACAGTACTTCATGCATAAAAAATAGTTTTTAAAAGTTTTTGTCAAATACTTTATAATATAGTATAGATCATATTATATAAAATTAAACAGTTTATTTTATTATCAATCTCATTAATTATTGTTTAATACCTTAAACCAGAACCCCATAGAATTATCCAACCTTTCATTTTAAAATTATATATCTTAAATGATATACTTGTAATTAATTTTCATTTTAAATCTTATCATATTTTTATTAATTAATCTATTTTGTTGAATAAAATTAATTATTAACTTTAAAAAAAAAATACATAATTAGAAAACTTTTATTCTAACGGTTAAAATGATACAAATATTTAATGTTAAAAAAAATAAAAGCATCATATGATATTTCACGAACAACACATTTAAGAGCTTATAAATTTTGAATATGATAAACGAATATCGACTAAATGAATGAATATTGTATCAGTTTAAAATATATAAGAATAAATGTTAAAATGCTTTTAAAAGTATTATTGAAGGTATTATTAATTTTCTTTTACTGAAAAGTTGTAAAAATATTATGTCATCTAAAAAATAAAATATTGTGAATGCTATTAGCATTTTGTTCAATACAAGTGCCCGTTAACGTGACGAACCTATAGTTTTTATCGAACGAGTGCAATTTTAAGACATATTAAGGGGTCATTTATCAAACACTTACACAGGTAAGTGAGCATCAAGTCATTTTACCTCACCGGATGAATATGGTAAGAATCAAGAATCTTACCCGGTAAAAGCGAGACAAGAACCAAGAGTCTTACCCGGTAAGTGAAAGCGACGACTCTTATCACGGTAAGTGCTTACCGGGTAAATTGTTGCATACCATACCGTTTTGGTGGACTAAAATCTTATCCGGTAAGTAAATGATAGTGTTAACTTTACTCGTAAGCGTTTACCGGGTAAGTGTTTGGTAAACAGCCCCTAATATATTCCTCAAGGTTTTAATCCTATGAAAAAGTTAACACCATCTGTTAATTTTGTTGGTTTGGAGAATAAATACATATTCTAAATATAATTTAAGACTATGTTTTAGATGTAATTTTTAGCCGAATTCCACCGTTTTTCGAGGGATTTTTTATTTCAGTTTTTTGGTTAATTGCGAGGAATTTATAAAATTTTTGGTTGATATTAAATGAGTTTTTTTAGATTTTTGGTTAATATGCGTTGTATATTATAATATCCTGAAACATCCTTCAAAATTTAGCATGTTACATCTTTCATAAAAGAATTCTACTTCATAAAATAATTCACCCTCCGTCCATCAATGGTTCATATATCTTCTTATATTTCTTACTTTAACTTCTATTCTCACACGATTCTTCGTCTATATATATATACACACACTCACACACATCTTAACTCCTATTATCACATGATTTTTCGTCTATATATATATATAGGGAAGAGATAAAATACAAACCAAGCTATTTGTAACCGTCGATTTCATTTTTTATTTTAGTGAATCTTTTTTTCATAAAATTGTTAAAGATGATAAAATTGTTTCAAACAATCATTTTATGATGAAATGTTTCATATATATTTTTATTAACTCGGATATCCAATCCGTTATGCGAGCCGACTAATTTCAGGGCCACCACCTGCTTTGCAGATAGCCCGGAGTCACCGCATTTGAACCTCCGTGGCTACAAGGGAATTTTAATTCCTCCTTGGATTTGAACATGTGACCTCCTGATATTTTTTATCTTTGGAGTTTATACACCACGAAACCAAAAACAATATGTATTGTGATGCGTGCTGAGATTGAAAAATGTCTCGAAAATCATATTCGCTAAGTAAATTGAAGATTTTCAACACGAGATTAGTGGTTTACGCATCTAATAATGTGTAACTACATTTTATCAAGCAGTAACACACACACATATATATATATATATATATATATATATATAAAGAGAGAGGTGGGTTATTATACAACCCCTTATATTTGTACAAACAATACAACTCAATCTCAAAAGTCCATTTAATTTGATGAATATGTAATTTCATAGAAGTTTTGATTGTTTCCTAATATAAATTATTGATCATAATTAATGAACCGTATTCATCTTTCATAAACATTTAAATAATGATAAATGAACTCACATCATTTCCATAAATATTACAATTTATTGGGTTGTATTGGTTGTACAAATACGATGGGTTGCATTTGAAACAAACTCTCTCTCTCTCTCCCTACATACATACATACATGCATGCATGCATGCATGCATACATACATACATGCATACATACATACATACATACATACATACATACATACTAACATAAAACAAATACATGAATTCAATTTACACCTGTTTTCTCAATCACTGTACTGTCATATATATATATATATATATATATATATATATATATATATATA